TATAAAGGGTCATGACATGTGCAATCAGTCTGTTGAGGTCTTCAAGAACTAGTGCACATGGATTGGCATTCTGCTGGTGAATATTTAATCTGTGCCAGATAATCCACTGGAAAACAAAAAGTTTGTTTTGCTTATCTTAAATCAAAATCTGAGCATCTGCTTCTGTGTTTGGGGTAATGTTTCTTTTGTGATGATGCTTCATCCACCATATTCTTAAGGGGTGTCGCATATTGTTCATAGTGAATTAGACTGTAGTTGGAGACTCTTACAACCAAGATATGACCCTATTTCATGTATAATATGGGCTCTTTAAGATCCAAATGTGCACATCTGGGGCCTCATGTATCAACGCTGCATACGCACAAATACTTTGCGTGTGCCTGATTTTACCCTCACGTTTGAATATACTAACGATGAAATGAATGTGAGAATGTGCGTTGGTCCATGCCAACTTCATGCCTGGCATATGTGCATTTCCTATGTGTGTTTGTTTTATTTCCATTGGCGACTCCTAGAGGCTGTTGTGTTAAACTGCACACTATAAAGCATCTTTGAGCCATGCAATGGCAGCTGTATGAGACGGGATCATCCGTATGTCTAGCAGGTATATTAAGGTTTCCATACCAAGCAGTTGACCAGCCAATCAAAATGTGGCCAAGCTTTAAAGGACACGCCCCTTAAAACCAGGCTTTTTCACAAAGAGTGTCAGGATGAGTGTTGAAAATACAAACAACTTCATTAATGTTAAAAGTGAACCTCAAGGAAGATATTCAAATGAAATAAAAGCCATGTCATGACCACTTAAACCCACAGTTTGATGGATGAGGATATGATCATAATAATAAGCCTGATTTGTGTTGACAGGATCAAGGTGTCGTCCCCTTACTGTGACATACAGTTATATGAGGTTTGTGCAAAACATTTAACTAATGCTGTGTCATTCTCATTCATGCATTTAGATTCTGTAGTTGTATGCTGTGCTTGAATATCAGATCTTTGTGTGTGTGTGTGTGTGTGTGTGTGTGTGTGTGTGTGTGTGTTTCTGCTGTCAGTGTCTCTTCAGTTTCTGTGGTTATGCAGTGTGGGTGACTTTAGAGAGGCGGGACCTAAAAGCCATCCAGCTGGAGATTGGACGATTGTTCCGCTCAAACACGTTTAACCCCGCCCTCAGGATTCTAGACCAATCAGAAGACAGATCACAGGAGGAGGGTCAGTCTGAGCTTGAGGAACAAACTCAAGGCAGCAACAGGTGAGACAGCGACAGCAGTAGATAAACACACTTCAACTGTTTTATTTTGGTATTTTGTAATGTTAGTATTTTAATAAAGGGTTTGTAATAAATAATGAAATATTATTTTATATAAAACTTGGTTTATATTATTTCTATTTTTTTATTTGACTAATAGTCATGGTGGCACGGTGACTTAGTGGTTACCATCGGCTGGATCAGACTCAGTTGGTGTTTCTGTGTGGAGTTTGCATGTTCTCCCCGTGTTGGCATGGGTTTCCTCCGGTTGCTCCGGTTTCCCCCACAGTCCAAACACATGCGCTATAGGGGAACTGATTAACTAAATTTGCCATAGTGTGTGAGTGTGTGTGTGTGAATGAGTGTGTATGGGTGTTTCCTAGTACTGAGTTGCGGCTAGAAGAGCATCCACTGTGTAAAACACATGCTGGCTAAGTTGGCAGTTCATTCCGCTGTGGTGATGCCTGATGAATAAAGGGCAAATGAATGAATGAATGAATAATAATTATTTTTTACAATCTTTAATACCTGAAAATACCAAAGTATTTATCATTTAATTCAGTTATTCATTTATTTTATTTTTGACTTAATTAACCTTTATTAATCTGGGGTTGCAACAGCGGAATGAACAGCCAACTATTCCAGCATATGTTTTACACAGCGGATGCCCTTTCAGCTGCAACCCAGTACTGGGAAAATGTATATTTTAATTTATAAGTATTCTCTAAGTGATTACATATAATTAAAATTAATTAATTAATTTAGTTTTCTTTTTAAATTTATATATATATATATATATATATATATATATATATATATATATATATATATATATATATATATATATATATATATATACATATATAATTTTAAAAAATATTCGAACTATATATATTTTAAATTGTTTTAGATTTGTGTTTATTAAAACTTTATATTGTATATATTTTAAACGTTTAACATTTTATTTTATCCAAAAATATATTTAAAATGATATTGTTTTAATCAATACATTATTAAATAATATTAGATTTACATTCATTATATAAATGTTCATACTTTCATTTTAATTTCAATTATTATTCTTCAAAGCTCAATCACATAATTATATCATTCAAAATGATAATTTTAAAGTATTAAATACAGTGAGGCCTTGACAAAATACTGTTTAATTAAAGAATAATTTTTTTTATATTATTTTAATGGTTATTTATTATTAGAACGTTTTTATTTTTTTATTTAAAAGGGTAAATTAAATTAGCTACATGTCACCTACATGTCACCTGTAGAGCCTATAATTTTAATTATATATATATATATATATATATATATTATAATTATATAATTAATTACACGTATTTATGTATTCTTTAAGTCATTCACAGCAAAGAACATCAGATCGCAGATTTTCCAGGATGTATTCGTATTAACTTCGCTCATAAAATGCACTGTTATGGAGCACAAACTAATGGAGATGTTTAGATGATCTGTCATCCCGCATTGTGAGGTCTTGCCTGTAACCTGACCTGAAGCTGAAGTGCAGATTTATGGTTTTAGTGGCCGATCTGCTCACTCTCTGTCTGCTGACCTTTGACCTTTGACCCAGGCGCCCGGCCCTGAAGCTCGTCCTGCGCCAGCGTTCGCCTCTGATGGCCAGTTATCTGCCCATGCTGCCAGAAGATTCACAACAGCTGTTTAAGAGGTTCAGATGTCTGAAGAAGCCCTCGACTGAACATGTGAATCAACTCATACAGCAGATCAACAATCTCAGGTTCAGTGATTCATGATTGATTCAGAACAAGCCTGCAATTAATGACTCAATGATTCAAATGATCCATTCAAAGCAAGTCTAAAGTTAATGACCCACTGATTCAAATGATTTGTTCTGAGTGAGTCTGCAGATAATGACTCACTGATTCAAATGATCCATTCAGAGCAAGTCTTAAAGACTCGTCTATTCATATGATTTGTTCGCAGTGAATCCAAGTTAATGACTCACTCAAAGGATGCATCCAGAATAAGTCTACTGTAAATGACTCACTGATTCAAATAATTGGTTCAGAACAAGTCTTCAGTTAATGACTCACTGATTAAAATGATTCATTCAGAGAAAGTCTCAAATAAATGAAGTGAGTCTGCAGTTAGCAACTCACAGATTCAAATGATTTGTTCATAGCATGTCTTCAGTTATGATTCACTGATTCAAATGATCCATTCATAGTGAGAGGGCAGTTAATGATTCATTGATTCAGATAATTTGTTCATAGCGTGTCTTCAGTTATGATTCACTGATTCAAATTATCCATTCATGGTGGGAGGGCAGTTAACGATTCATTGATTAAAATGACTCTTTCATTGCGTGTCTTCTGTTATGATTCACTTATTCGACTGATCCGTTCATAGTGAGAGGGCAGTTAACGATTCACTAATTCAAATTATTTGTTCATAACGTGTCTTCAGTTATGATTCACTGATTCAAATTATTTTTTCAGAGTGAGTCTGCAGTTAATGACTCACTTGTGAATATGATTTGTTCAGAGTGAATCTAGAGTTAATGACTCACTCAAAGTATGCATTCACAACAAGTCTACCAGTAAGGACTCACTGATATAAATAATTAGTTCAGAACAAGTCTTCAATTAATGATTCACTGATTCAAACAATCCGTTCAGAGTGAGATGGCAATTAATGATTCACTGATTCAAACAATCTATTCAGAGTGAGATGGCAATTAATGATTCATTGATTCAAACAATCCATTCAGAGTAAAATGGCAATTGATGATTCATTGATTCAAACAATCCCTTCAGAGTGAGGTGGCAATTAATGATTCACTGATTCAAACAATATGTTCAGAGTGAGATAGCAATTAATGATTCACTGATTCAAATGACTTGTTTAGAGCAAGTCTATAGTTAACAACTCACTGATTCAAATAATCTGTTTAAAGTGAGTCTGTGGTTAACAACTCACTAATAAAATTGATTCATTCATGATCATGACTGAAGCATGATTCAGCAACACTAGTGTTTTTCATGTCTTTGTTGTTCAATTTTACTCAGATGCTCGATTTGTGAATTATTTTTTTAGTTTGGGGATTCTCGGAAAGCCACTGAATCAGTTCAGTTCGCGGACGCTGAAGCCTCACAATGAAGAGGAGCTGGAGGATGATGAAGATGCAGACGTGATGAAGGTGGAGTCTCGTCTCCACATCAGGAGCTCCAACCAGCAGCACTGCAGCCGAGTGGAGATTTTCTCCAGAGCCACGACTGAAGCCCCGGACTCTGACACACTATAACACACACTACAACACACACTGCAACACACACTACAACACACACTATAACACACAATAACAAACACTATAACACACACTATAACACACACTACAACACACACTAACACACACTACAACACACACTACAACACACACTATAACACACGATAACAAACACTATAACACACACTATAACACACACTACAACACACACTATAACACACACTAAAACACACTATAACACACTATAACACACGATAACAAACACTATAACACACACTATAACACACACTATAACACACACTAAAACACACACTACAACACACACTAAAACACACACTATAACACACTATAACACACACTACAACACACACTAAAACACACACTACAACACACACTATACCACACACTATAACACACACTAAAACACACACTATAACACACTATAACACACACTACAACACACACTAAAACACACAC